AATTAGTCAGAATTTCTGACATAAATTCCACATATCTTTCACCAGTTAGGGTTCCCTCATAAAAGAACGGGCCAACAATTTTTGAACCAATTATACCGCACCAAACGTTGAAACTGAAACGGACTTGTGGGCCTCTTGGATGTACTAACAAAAGATTTTCTCTTGACCAATAATGGTGGTTTTTTTCTATTAAACATTCCAGAATTTGAAAAATTTGATTCATCTGTCCATAAAAGGTAACGAAAGTTATTTACATTTTGGCGACAGAAGCTAAGATACCAATGGCAAAAAACAAGTCGTCTCTCTGGATCCCCTGCCAAAAGCGTTTGAACTGGTCGGTACTTATACGGAATAAATTTGTATTTTTTTAAAATCCTTTGAACAGTACCATAACTGAAATTAGAGTCCTTGAGAATATCTGCTATTGAATTCTCACGATAAGCTTCAAAATATCCAATAACTGCAATTTCCGTGGCCTCGCTTATTATGAATTCTTTTTTTGCCCTTGTTTTAGCAAAAACATTTTCGTTGCCCCTAAATTTTCGATAAAGTCTCAGAAAATATCGTTCATACGGTTGAATGCGAGCGGGATATAATTCACTGTAGTATTCTCTTGCTCTCAAGGAGGATTTTCTGCACACTAAATAGTAACATATCACACTTTTCTTCATGGGAGAACATTTTTCTTTAAATTAATGACACAATAAAGCTTATAAACAAGTATTTACACTAATGTTTGACATTATTTGATTTTATCATTGTTTTCCAAAGCCTTCTAGTTGCGAGTATGTCCAGATTAACAATTTGTCGCTTATCTTTAAGCATCCCACAAACCGGCGCGAAATATTCGCTTTGGCTGCGAAAATTTCGCGGCGATGAATTCGCGATCAGATTAAAACGCGGCGGTTTACGGACAGGCTCAGACTTGTGCGAAGCGAATGCGATTGTTCCAGCGTTTTTATCGCGGCGTATTTCAGTTCGCCTTTGAGCGCGTTTTCGACGCCGTTCTTCAAAAATTCGCAATGGCAAAAACGGAATTATTGATAGAAATAGTGAAAAAGTATCCTTGTTTGTATGATTTGTCGAACGATGAATACAGGAATGTGAGAAAGAAAGACAAGATATGGATGAAAATAGGTAAAGAATTAAATACAAATGGTATGTACCTAATATCTTTTATTAACTTGTTAAATAATTTACAGTCTACACAAATGTGAAAACGAACATTCTATATATTGGGCATAGGCATATCAGAATTAAAATAATTTACGAATTTGTCACGAGTAGAAAATGCTAGCCTTACTGCCCGCCGAGGATCATTTGCTATATCAGTAAAAGCTCCAAGCACGGGTTCTGGGGGATCTAAGAATTGAAAATATTTGTCATCGCCACTTTTACTTCGTAAAAAATTGTGTAAAACACATGCCGTACGTACAATTAGAATAGTAGTATCTACTTCTAGTTTCTAATGGCCTGTAAAATATTCGCCATTTTTGAGACAAAATACCAAACGCATTTTCCACGACCCTTCTAGCTCGACAAAGTCTTACATTGTATTTCTCTTTTCTGACGTCTGTTAAAGTCTGCTTATAAGGAAATGGTCTCATACGGTATGGTTTTAAAGCAAATGCTTCATCACCAATTAAGACGTACGAGCAGATTTCATTTTGCCCAGGGAGAAATCTAGGTACTCTTGTTCAAATCGTTTTCCCATGTTTGAGGTTTCGAAAATACCCCCATCACTATTTTTTCCGAAACCACCAATATCAACACATATAAATTTATAGTCCGGGCCAACAATGGTCATAAGTACTATTGAATATTTATGTAAATAGCACCAGTAATTGGAGCCACTGTTGTTAGGTCTCTTGATTGTTACATGTTTACCGTCCACGCTGCCAATGCAATTGGGAAATCCCCATCTATTTTCAAATTCTTCAGCACATTTTTTCCATATATTCTCTGTTGGTTCTGGTAAATATATATGCTCCATATGTCTGCATATCGCTTCACAGACTTCGGTTACGATTGCACTCACTGTTGTAAAGCCAACTCGAAAGCTATGCCCAATGGTATAGAAGGTGTCACCAGTGGCAAGGAATCTATAAAAAAACCGTTATTAGGTGATGAAGTAAAAAAAAAGGTGGAAGAATATCAGAGACACATTTGCAAAATATATAAAATCTACCAAACCAAAGACCGGCCAAGCAGTGGGCAACATAAGAAAATGGCAGTGGGCTGACTACATGGAATTTTTCCGTCCTTTTTTGGCAGTTGCCAAAACGTCGTCTAATGTGAAAGATATTGACGTCATACATTATGAGACTGCCGAATTTAACTCAAATATATATCAGGAAAGGGCTGGAAATGTAGAAACCGAAAATTTGGAAGACCGCGGCCATGGAGAAGATGAAAATGCTGATGTAGATGCAGAAGATGCACAGACCGCCTCGGCAACACAGACAGCACCACCTTCTTCATTGAACACTACAGCAGTGACTACTCCAGGGCACACCTTTCCGCAGACTGCAACTACACCAAAATATAAAACGAGCAGAAAAGGCTATGAACCACCATCTTCGTCTGTACAACAGCTCATTAATTTGAAGGTAAAAAACCTAAAAAAGAGAACGAGGCCATTGATTCACTTTTCTTGGCACATGCACAGACTGTGAAAACACTTCCCTTAAAGCGTCAAGCCCGAATAAAACTAAAAATAGCCGAATTAATAGCGCACGAAGAATTTGAACATATTGAAGAAATGTCTTCAGCGTCTACCCAGAATTCTGCAAGTATGTATGATAGTAGTATGTCGTCCTTCCCAAGCGGCACTGGGTTTACTCCAATAATATACCCAACAGAGGAGGCAAATTCTGCCTCGAATTATTTAGCAACATTTAATCCTAGTGGCAACATGTAGTCCAATTATCACAATAAAGTATTTATTTCACGATCCCTGAAGTTTTCGTATTCGATAAGCCTACTAATTTTAATACATATAATTTTTTTACCTGAGTGTAATAGCAAGTCGTTCTTCTGGCGAAATAGCTTCACGATAATTTGTGTCAGATTTTCGTATTTCATCTTTCACCAAGTTCAATATTTCATCGAAACACTCTGGAGTCATTCTAAAATATACGTAAAAGCGCTGTTCATCCAGCCGAAGTTGTGGCATCAAGGTATGGTATTCCCCAAATTTATTTCGTTCCAAGTTAATATCATGTACCCACTTCCTTCGTTTCCTAAACAAAATTGAAAATATTTGTTTTATGTACTTCGTTAAACTTAATACATACCCAACTATCAAATGGCGTTAAATAAACATAACTTACCGTGCATTTTGTTCCTCTTCTAAAGAAAGAAATAGAAGTGCCTCCTCTTCTTCTGAAGAGGAGCTCATTGCAAAAGGCAAAAATAAAATGTACGCAACCTGTCGAAACCTTCACGTTCGCGGAGCGAATAAGACGCTTTGGTATGAATAAACAGACGAAACAGATCGCGAATTTCGCTCTGAATTTCGTTGCGAATACTTCGCAGCGATTATTTCGCGCCGGTTTGTGGGATGCTTAATGCTGTCAAATCGCGAACGCCACGTTGTTTTCATAGCCGTCTTAATATTATAATACTGCAAATAATTAAAAATATTTATCGTTATTTTGACTTTATTTTTGACTTTAGCGGAAAAGTCATTATGAACTTTTTTGTTTAAAATTTGATGCTTTAACAGAAAAAAATATAATATACAGGGGTTTCCATTTAAAAAAATGTTATTTTACTGAAAAAAATCAAAATAACGACTCTCAATTGTTTTTTTTTATTTCTCATTTTTACCAGCGTTAAAAATGCTACTAGTTTGCTAATTCAAACAACTTTGTATTTTCACTAATAACAAAGTTACTAATGGTGGACACTTAATTTGGATAACCCTGTATACTGTGATTGTGCAACGGGATTAGATAGAGGAAAAGGTTTGTCTAAAGATGCAAAGAATGTTACTGGGAAGCCTTTTATCAAACATCAAATATGGAAAAATCACTGTTTCTTGTATATTTGACAAACTATGAAGTATTGGTCCAATTTGTCAGAACAGTAGACGATGAAAAAACCTTTAAAATAAGACCTCATATGTCCAATTAGCTGTGGCGGATTTTCCTCTGAAGTAGTTTTACCAATACTCCATAGTTTTTTGATTATATGAAAAAAACTTATTTTTTCAACTTTGATGATAAAAAAGTTGTCTAACATAATTTTTTTGTATATCTGGATAAAGAGCTTCCTCGGTGATTCTCAAAAATATATTTCTGTTGTAAAATCCTTCTATACACCTTTTTCTGATATTATAGATTTTCTCGCCTATCAAACCTGCCTGAAACTTGCTACGAACACATTTGTCTCAGAACATATTGAATATTTTCTACAACGGATATAACAGGTATTTACTACGGTATTATTCCATGAATCATATTTGTGATACCATTGCATCTATCATAAAGTATATATTATCGATAATGTCCTAAAATTTCTTGGAACCGTAGATATATGAATACGAGGGATGTCTTTTAAGTTTTGCATATACAAACATAGTAGGCCGGCAGTCACCCAGGAAAACGTCGATGTTGTGCATCATTGAAGATAGACATGTGACATATCGCGAGACTGAGGCGTCCTTGAAGATCTCAAAGACCTCAATTCAAAAAATTACATGAAGAAGGATTAAGAAAATTAGTTTCTCGTTGGATGAAGAGCAGAAAGTAGCCAGGGTTAATTGGTGTCAACAAACGCATGACCGTTTCAATTTCGGAAACTCAAAAAATGTGTACAGCATTGTTAGTGGTGATGAATCGTGGATTTACTGTTATGAACCAGAAAATAAATGACAGTCGGCTGTTTGGGTGTTCCAAGGTGAAGAAAAGCCATCAAAAGTCATCCGTTCTCGAAAAAAAGATGGTCGCAACATTTGTGTCAAAAGCGGGTCATATTGCAACAATTCCTCTTAATGAGCAAATAACTGTTACTGCGGATTGGTATACCACCATTTATTTTCCAAAAGTCATCACCGAGCTTCGAAAAATCAACCCCGAAATAAGAATCACCCTCCACCAAGACAATGCAAGCTCGCACACAGCCCAAAAAACAAGGCAGTATTTAACGGAAGAAAACGTGGAATTATTGGAACATCCTCCATATAGTCCCGATCTAAGTCCTAACGATTTCTTTACTTTCCCGAAAATTAAAAATAGACTGCGTGGTCAAAGGTTCCAGTCACCAGAAGAAGCAGTTGACGCATTCAAAAATGCCGTTTGGGATCTGCCAGCAAACGAGTGGAATAAGTGCTTCGAAAATTGGTTCGAGCGCATGCAGATGTGTATTAATCTTCGTGGAGAATACTTCGAAAAACAATAAGTCATTTAAAACTACCTACCGTGTTGTTTTATTTCCATAATGCAAAACTTAAAAGAAATCCCTCGTATAATTAACGTTCCAATATTCATAATCGATTTATTACTTCGCAATGAAATTGGAAGTTTCGTTGATGGTGTATTTTTTCACTTTTTATCAGTTATTAGCAAGGCAGCGTGCTTTTCAACACCCCAGCAAAAACATAGATGAAATTTTATCAAAATTGTTCCTCGTACATCAAAATTGGATCAGTCTGCTCAATAGGAAAGATAGATTATCTCAGCATTCCATTCACTTTGAATTTGCCTGATCTAAATGGTCATGAGAAAAGTACTCGACTGTTTGTACATTGTTCCATATTAGAACTCTGAATGAATTCAACTGTGTTTGTATTTAACAGCATTGTTGTGCCTACATTTTTTTTAAAATCATTTTTATTGCGATCCACTGTCCTTGTAATAGGTTTAAAAATCGAACTATCTTTGCACTACAGTGATAAGTTTCAAAGCTTTGTATTCACACCTACTTTAATATTATAAATAAGAAATAATATTATAAAGAGAAAGCGTGGATGTTTGTTACTCAATCACAGCAAAATGGCTGAACTTATCTGGATGAAATTTGGTACAGAGATATAGATTATAGTCTGGAATAGCACATGGGCTACCATTTATCCTGGAAAATAACTTTAAAATATATATTTTACGGGCTTCAGCTCACACGGCAAGGATTTTACATGAGGTAGAAAGAATAGGTTTTCATGGAAAGATGTATACTTTAATGGAAAATTATTTATCAGACAGACCGCAATCAGTAAAATTATTAAGCTCGTATAGTAAAGAAATGTTTGTTAAATGTGGTGTTCCACAAGGTACATTTTTGGGTCCTCTGTTATTCAATATTTATTTAAACGATATATTCAAAATTAACAGTACTGGTAAAATAGTCAGTTTTGCAGACGATACTGCTATACTCTATAAAGGTAAGGATTGGAACGACTTAAAAGATATTATCCAAAATGACTTTTGCAAAATTATTCAGTGGTTTAATAACCGAAAATTAACAATTAACTTTACTAAAACTCATTTTTTACCATTTTCATCACTATCTAATCATCTACCAAAATATAACCACCTTCGGTTTAAGGTAAATGATAAAAATATAAAAATCAATAGAGTTAATGATATAAAATATTTAGGAATTTATCTAGATCCCCACTTGAGATGGGATGTACATATTTCTCACATACTAAAGAAAATTAGATTCATAGCATATAAAATAAAATTTCTAACCGGTATATTAACTGAATATTATCTACGAATAATATATCAAGCTTTAGTCGAGCCACACATAACATTTGGTATAGTAGTGTGGGGTGCTGCATGCACGACATACTTTAACGATTTAGATGTACTTCAAAGAAGAATTTTAAAATCAATGTTAGGCAAATCAAAATTATACCCAACTAATGACTTATATAATGATGCACAAGTATATGATACTAAACAACTTTACTTCTTACATACCATCACTCATTATCACAAAACTATTAGTGAACACGACATAATTAAACATAATCATAAAACCAGATATAAATTACGCGCAAAAAATGTTCCTAAACCAAACAAATCCCTAATGAAACGATGTCACCTGTATATAGCTCCAAAATTGTACGAACATCCACCAAATAATTTAAAACAATTACGCAATACATTAGGCTTCAAAAAAAAATTAAAAAAATGTATTAACACGATTGGGAGAAATCAAATTAATAAAATAATCTCAAATATTACACAATAAATGCTCTACCATTCTTACCAATAATTTCTTTTTTCTCTCTATTTTATTATATTTTGCAATTCAACATACATATGATCCATGCACAGGCGTTATCCTCCTATGGATATATTATATTTATTTACTCGTTTCATGTTCCCTATATTTTAGAGTAAATAAATATTATTATTATTATTATTCTATATTGTGAGTTTCGAGCCTAATAAGATCAAGTTAAACTAAAACCGTCACCGGTTTTCAGACTATTAATGATTTTCGTGCGATCGCAACACGCAAGGATAATATTTGGCGCGGGAGCAGCAAACTTTGCGCTTTGAAGTTGTCGCTTTGAGAAGTGGAAATGTGCCCTATTTTCGATGGTGCCAACTGACTCCAGCACTGCAGGTAAACGCATAAAGTAATGCCAAGTTTCTCCTCATACGTGTTATATAATCACTGCCAAGTTGGCGGTTTATGAAGTTTATGTTTGAATTGCGGGCTTGGTAATGGCCACTAGCTGCATGTGTAAACGCAAATTTTAAGGGCCATTTAGAGGAGTTCCTGAAAGATGTGTGCATGAAAACATATTTTCAAATTGTAATGCTGCATGCTACTCCTTTGTGAAAAAAATATTGTTTATCGAAAATATACGAAATTTCGTCTAAACATCCCGAAATAAGCATCATTGCAGTGTTTTTACCTTATCTAACAATCAGTTGAATCAATAAACATGAGACACGAATATCAGCATCACTGATGTCACTCTTGTTTATAGATAGATAGATAGATAGATAGTCTTTATTGTCTTTTGGTCATAAATAGCTATGACATAAGACTTGTCAACATTACATATACAATACATAAGTATGCGATATGCACAAAAGAACAGGTAGTTAATTAAAACGGTAATTGAGATAATAAATAATAAACAAATAAATCAATAAAATAGTAGTCATTACAAACACAAACAAATTCTCAATGACATCTAACGAACATGAAAAAATAAATAAATAAAATAGGAGTCATTACAAACACAAACAAATTCTCAACGACATCTAACGAACATGAAAAAAAAAATCTATTTTAAATAAATAAAAACAATTGAGCGCTTAAAATGTCTAGAAGAGGAGCAATAAATAGACTGTTTCTTTTCCGTTGAGCTTAATAAATAAATAAAAAGAATAAATAAATAAAATTAAGCAGTTAGGTATTCGTCGACGGTGTAGTAACACTTTTCTGATAGATATCTTCTCAGACGTTTCTTTAATGTCAACATATTAGTGCTTCTGCGGAACTCAATTGGTAGTTTATTGTAAATTTTTGTACAGGCATAGAGTGGTGATTTCTGAAACTGGGCTGTTGCGTGGACTGGTATACTTAAGTCAAAACCTATTCTGGTGTTGTAGTGCCTGTTAACTGTGTTATTTTGAATAAAACTGGTCCTATGTTTAAATGCGAAGAGAGCGCATTTATATATATAGATGGATATTAATGTTAGCAGATTATATGTTCTGAAAATATCTTTACAAGAGTCTCTTTTGTTGATATTGAAAATCAGCCTGAGTACTCTTTTCTGCAAGATGAAGACTCTGTTGTTCATGACTGCTTGTCCCCATAGTATTATATTATTGCTAAGATGCGGGTAAGCCAAGGCATAGTAGATATCTATTAGAGCTGTTTGGGAGATGTTTTGTTTGAGTTTCAAGATTGCAAAGTATGCACTATTGAGTTTCTTAATGACATGATTCACATGTGACTGCCAGCCCAACTTCCCATCAATATGAGTTCCTAAGAATTCGGTTCCGTCTGAGAAGATATCGTTGTGCAACCGTGGTTTGCTATTGTAGAAATGCACATACATTGTTTTATCAGCGTTTAGTATAAGGCGGTTTGTTACACACCAGTCGTTCCATATGGCCAGATAGTTTTAGGTCGTTCATAAACAAAATGAACAGGAGTGGCGCTAGTACCGAGCCCTGGGCTGCACCAATGCTTATGTCATACACCCCCGACGAAGAACCATTCACTCTTGTTTTAAGCTGTCTGTTTGATAGAAAAGAAACAAGCCAGCGTAAAAGAAAGTCCCTAATACCGAGATTATACAGCTTCTGCTCGACGAAGTTTATGTCTATTATATCAAATGCCTTCGAAAGATCGAAAAACAAGCCTGCAACATATTTATTAGAATCAATATCCTCGTAAACTTTGTTAAAACAGTCGAATGACGCTGTTTCTATGGATCGTGAAGACCGGAACCCATGTTGACTGTCTGATATGGTGTTATACTTATTTAAAAAGCTAACGATTCGTCTAAGCAGGCACTTTTCTATAATTTTTGATATAATAGATAACAGAGATATAGGTCTGTAGTTCTCTATATCAGTCGGATCTCCTTTCTTAAATATAGGAATTACAATGGCAAGTTTGAGACACTTTGGAAATTTACCTTTCAGCACTGACTTATTTATAAGCTGTGAAAGTGGAGTTGATATCTCACATTTTATAGTTTTCACCACTCGCGTTGATATGTCATCACTGCCGCAGGATTTTTTATTTGGAAGGTCATCTATTATTTCTATGATCTCTGCAGCCGTAACTTCTTCATAGACCATCGAGTTCGTAGAAAGTCGCTGAACTGTACAATGCGATGCCGGCATCCCTTGAAAGTGCGTTTCCAACTTCGTATGTGCTATGGTAGCAAAGTATTTTCCAAATTGATCAGGTATCTCGAAGTTTGTAATTTCCTTGGGACAGTGTTTCATTGCAATATTTCGTTGCGTCTTCGCCCGTCCAATTTCCTGATTTACTATACGTATATCCCATATTCGTCTGGGCTTATTTGTAGCTTCCGAAATGGTATGTGCATAGTATATCCTCTTGGTTGATGATATCAGCCTTCTATGAACTTTTCTCTGTTCAAGGTAAAGTTGCCTGAGTTCCTGACTAGTGTCTTGCCTTTTCCATGAGGAGTACAAGGATCTTAAGTTTTGGCTAGATTTTTGTATCTCAGGAGTTACCCAAGGCTTTGAATTTTGCTTTTTTTTTGAAATACCATACTTTCGCCGGGGACATGTTATATCTAGGTGCCACAGGATAGTGTTGATAAATTGTTCAAATCCAGCATCAATATCTTGATCACTGATATCCCATGCTTCTTGGGCTAACTTGGATTTGAAGGTTTTCAGGTGGTCAGCGTTTATTTTTCTATGGGTGTAAGCCGAAATATTTGATTCCTTACGGTGCTCTTCCATTATTGGCGATGTAGTTAGTTCTAAGAGTTGCGCTGTATGGTCTGATATGTGAGGTTCAAAGACTGTACACTTTAAATGGTTTACGTTAATGTTGGTAATAATATAGTCTATTGCTGTTTCCGTTATTTTGTTGTGTTTATTGATAGCTGTACGAGTAGCTCCATGACAATGGTTAAGCAAGTTAAAAGATGCTAACAGATCTTGAAGCAGGTAATGGTTCATGTTTGGTTTCAAGTTGTCAATGTTTAGGTCTCCACATAGTATTATTCTATTATTATCGATTAGAACTCTATCCAGGATATTTGTTAAGTTACCCAGAAATGTTGATACTTCGCCAGATGGTGATCTATACAAACATATTACCGTGATTTTTTCCTCTAAACCATTTATTTGCAGAGTTATTCCGCAGACCTCTATGTGTTTCTCTTCTGATTGGTGGTTGATAAATGGTATACTTTTAGCAGCCAGCTCACATTTAACATATATGGCGCACCCTCCATGTATATACTGGGATCGACAGAAGAACGATACGAGCCGGTAGCCTTCTAAGTTGAATATCGGAATGGCATCTGAAGGTAACCACGTTTCTGTGACACATAATACGTCTGGCGACCACTCATATACGAGAAGTTCAATTTCGTTAAATTTGTTTTTATAACAAGATATTTAAAGTTATGGAGTTAGGCAACTGTTATGTCAGGCTTTCATCTAATTCTGCTGCCTAACGGGCTCTTTTAAAGTCTAACAGTCAGTGGAATCAGGAATGTTTCATCATGTTTATTTCCTTATCTCAGTACAGGTTTCTAAATCACATTATCTCGATATTATCATGTTTATCAACCTCCCGTTAACATTCCAATAGAAACTATTGCTTGCAATAAACCATACGGATGACTTGCACAGTAACAATGTGTGAAAGGTTTTGGGCAATGCAATCTGATATCTGTCACAGGTTCCCTACAACCAAGGGCGGATTCAGATTTTGAGTAAGGCGGGTCACTTTCGAGTCAGGGCGAAAGAGTGTCACTTATCAAAGTCCAGTCAGGACAGGCCCCAATGCGTTTAAAATAATAAATCTAATTTAACAAGAAACATTTTATTGTTGTTTTGTGGAATAATTTATCACTTCTTCTAGATAGGCAAGTATATTTTTAGGACGTAAAGAAGCGCCAGTAGTGTAGTTAAGTATATTCTGTCATAGACACTCTCAACCGTATTTTGAACCTAGAGATGGGCATCTCTGCTGGCTGAGGCTTCAATCTATGGAAAAGCATTAAAAAGGATAAATATAGGCCATTGATGCTCAAATGCCAGCAAACAGCACAGCACGTATTACTACCGGGATATCTCGTTGATATGTGAATATCCCAAAGCTTCGACGTTATCCCTGAATCAGAGATAACCGAGCAAGATAACTATCATTAAAGTAACAATCCCTCCACACATCCTGCAATGAGATACATTCAGACTCCAGCGATTGCCAAGAAAGATGGTTAAGCGGTCATTCAGACCTAGGACGTCACATCCCAAGCGCTCCAACATTTCCCCTGGCAGATAAAACCGAGCAGTGATTAACATAAAACTATCTCAACTCAGCAAACGGGCTCCGAAAGTTCCATAACAACCCCCAGAACCTGGAGGCGTCCCACCTGCGGATATTCAATAACAACTCGTAAGCCATAAATTAAATTATGAAGGTAAAAAGTATAGCATCATTATAAACATGGCTTAAGACATTCATGATCATGAATATAAAAGTCTGGAAGGATTTCGTGTACTTCAGGCATGAACTCGCACACAAAAATGTGTTTGAGTTATTTTATATACAGGGTGACTTTGAAGTTGAGTCATTAATTTTCAGATAATGATTGTAGAAGGAAGATAAACCAAAATATGTATGTAAAAATAAAAAAAAATTAAAAAAAAATTTTTACCTTGTTTTATAAAGTATCCTCCCGGCAAGTATTTCAGTGCGGACCTGTATTTGATCGTGAGGTCCCCTGTGAGGTCTTAAGTCACCTGATTCACGAGCCCGTTGTACTACATTAACAAAGGCACGAGGGGTTGGTTGCACTCGATTGGGAAACCGATCCGCATAAACATGTGCCATTTTTTATTTCGTTTGACCCACGCAACAGATCTATTCACTGACACTGACTGTATACAAATGAATGAAATAATTGTAAAAAGCATCGTTCCAAATTCTTTCGCTTTTTTGTTTCCGATGCGATGAACCGATACGGCGGATTATATCCGTTGTCGCCAAACACGACCACATAATATTATTATTGAGACAGGGCGGTACTCAAACTTCCAAAGGGCTATAACTTTGTTAGTTTAATTTTACCAGGAAAATGGTAAAGCAAAAAAACATTTCTTTTGATCAGATCTACTCACTGTTAAAATAAATGACTCAACTTCGAAGTCACCCTGTATATGGACGGGGATAGCAGATTGTGACAAATACCTTTGGTACGAGTATGAATTTTGGCGCGACGTCACCAACATGCTGAAATGCTGCAATGCGCTTCCACGGTGGGGTGCATGACGAATGACTGAAGGATTTTAGTGAGTATGTCGTTTTATGAGAATCTCTCACATCGCTGAAAGAAAGAATCTGTCAGGCTTTCCTGCCTGAGAGTGGCTATAAAAGCTTTACCCTGTCTAAAAACATCTCTCTTGGCGCTAACTGGTATGCATAAAACTTTTAGTTGTTGATATTTGCTTGGATTTTTCCCGATAAATTGTTTTAATTTTTTTCATGTAATATACAAGTAATAAACCGACCAGCGCGACAACAAATATTCCGATCGTCAACTTTTTCGCCGCTTCCTTGAAAATCGAGTATACAGTTATTTGAGGAACTCGTCAGTCGCTGCATCTGTTTCTGAATATACTTATCGCGAGTGAGCGTCCTGAAATGTAAAGAGGTTCATTAAGTTATTTACATATATTATTTCTGTTAGCAGAACAACTCACAGTTACTCGAGACGCAGGAAGATTGTGACATGAAAGTGGTTAAATCTATAGGTAATATTGCCGGACTAGTTGCATAACATTCCATTCGACGATCATCTTAAATGTTAGGAGGTGTGGCGCAAGGAAGTAAGCTGCTGAGGATCGAGATTGACGTAGCCCGCGATTAACAGTGGAACCATTTCATGTTACGAAAAATAGAAGATTATACCATCTGAGGTTTAACAATTAATCCGTCAAAAACGGAGGATGTAGTGGTAGGAAATGGACGGAGGTATTTAGAACTAATAGGCACTCAAGTCGAAAATTCTGACAATTATAAATATCTCGGTGTAAGTATTATTGATGATGGTCGGAATACGAATAAAATAGTAACTAGACAACTTGACAAGCTAATACAGCAATACGTCAACTAAATAGTGTACTCTGGAATAAACACATCACTCGAAACATAAAAATTCATATATACAAATACAACATTATCATAGACCGTATTGCTACATGTGGTTTGGAGCGTTGGATAATAAAAAGGAAGATTAAAAAATCGCATCCACGAAAATGAATTGTTGGCGTAGACGCCAACTCACTAGGAAAGACAATAAGGAAAATTGAAATCAGAGAGCGTATGGGACTAGAAATTGACATCCTATCATGTCGAAAGAATGAATGATCAACGATATCCAAAGTGACTGTTATAATGGATCCGCACCAACCGGAGGAAAAACGGTAGACCAAGAAAATCGTAGAGACAAGAAGTAAACGGGGTTATGAAAGTTAGAGATCTACAAGCAGGTGATTGGAGAGATGGCAAGCGCTGGGAACTAAGATGCGCCAAACGGCGTGTATATATACAGGGTGTTTCAAATTAGACCCTCACCATTGGCATCTCGGAAGCGGTAAGAAGATACGAAGTCGCTTAAATGGGGGCAAAGTTGCGTATTTAGGTAACTAACAAAATGCTGCTCAGAAAGTTCAAAGTACTGACTGTAACGCGTGATATCATCAGGAATTTCGGTGCGATTCTAGTATGGTATACTTTATCTGAAGTCACTTGAAACACTGTGAAATACCGGGTGCGTTTTATATATCTATATTTAACACGCTCTGTTGCTGCAAAAATCGCCAAATTTCGCAGCAAATATCCCCCGTATAAGATCAAAGGCAGTTTCACCGGTCCACGTGGAGTAAAGCACGCCTATGCTTGGACATAGCCAATGAGAAAGCGTGTATTTCAGAGCTCTGAACAAGTGCAGGTGGCTACTGAAAATTGAAACAGTTTAGCCAGTGCCGTGTAGCGGTGAATAAACGTGTTTTCTTTAGTCTGTCCGTGTTTTTTCATAGATTTTATTAGTTTGTGTGTTTTTGACTTTTGAATACTCAGTTTACTTGTTGATTTAATTGTTGTGTTGATTGTTCTTGTGTGTCCTAAATATGGCTCTTTGGAGACCTTGGAAAAATGCTCCAAGCCACGAGGAGATGGTTGATAAACCTGTGCAGGCAGAATTCTTTCATAAAGATTTAGAGGAACAGACCCAAAGAGTAATCCTAAATATGTATGATTGTCTGAAAAACGAAAATCCAGATTCCTCGCAAAATCAAATTTTAAACAGAATTTGTATCCTGACAAAAATCAGTCGGTCTACCATTTATCGGGTTATAACAAGGGGAGATGTAGTCAACCATTCCTTCCACAGAAAGCGCATAGGGTAAAAATTAAAAAGAATAGACGTGGGTTTTCAGGAAGATATTCGTCGTATAATATACGGATTTTATAAAGAAAATTTGGGGCCCACGTTGGAAATGATACGGGATAAAATAAAAGATTACCCTGAAGATTTTTATAATTACAAATGCTTAGACTCACTGCACTGTATTGTAAAACTGTGTGGTTTTCAATACAAAAAATTAGATAAAAGAATGGTGATTATGGAGTCGTCTCGAATCGTTGAATTGCGCCAAGAATTTTTGCACAAAGTTAAAATCTATAGAGAGCAGAAAAGAAATCTGATTTACCTGGATGAAATGTGGTATGATACCCATGATGTGCAGTACGGCTGGGTTGACGACAGCAACAAGTGCATTTTAAATGCACCATGCAACCGTGGAAAACGAATCATTATTCTCCATGCTGGCAGTGAAAATGGATTTATACCTAATGCCTTGCTGTTATCTGCCAAAAATATCAAAGAATCATGTGCCGACTATCATGAGGACATGACCTCCGACTTATTTGAAAAGTGGATAGAGCAGCAGTTAATACCAAACATTTCCCCAAATTCAGTGATTATTATGGACAGTGCGCCATACCATTCCCGACAGAAAAACAAAATTCCGAATACAGGCACAAAAAAACAAGACATTATCGATTTTATGAAGGATAAGGGAATGGAAATACCACAAAAAACAACCAAAGCCATATTATTGGATCTTATTAAAAGACAAAAATTTGAAAAAGAGTATGTTGTTGACAATCTGCTTCAGCAAAATGGCCATGAAGTATTACGTCTATCTCCATATT